TGCTTGTACTTCCTTAGAGAGGAAAGAGTTGGATTTCCACTGTTTAGAACTAGACTTAATAAGCATGGGAGGTTTTGTATACATTTTCATGCTTCTGTGTTGACAAATGAAGACCAAAATTACCCAACAGGAAGTTTTCTGGTAGCTGTCAATGGCTCTAGCATCACTACAATATGTGAAAATATATTTCATAATAGGTATTTATGTGATTCACAATTCTTTTATTTTGGCTAACTGATCTCATGCCAGGGAAATACTGCAGAATGTACAAGTTATTGGTGGGATTTTTTTGTTTTGGGTTTTGGGGTTGGCTGTTTTTTTTTTTTTTTTTTGGCTGGAACTGGTATTTAGTGTTAGCATGCCTGGATACCTCCCCGAGGATTAATTTATAATTTATCAAACACTAAATAAAACATGTCTTCTGAGTATTTTCTTTTCCCTAATGTTTATTTTCCATGCCAATAGAGAGGTTATGTTTTTTAAACAGAAAGTGGAGGGAAAGCAAAAAAGAAAGACATAATAGGAGAAGAAAGATGCTGAAGAAATTAGAGATGAGGAGCCAGTCTATTGTGCACCAATCTATCACTTTCTCTTGGGAGAATAAGGAAATGACTTGTCTATAAAATTCTCATTAGACTAAAATAAGCACAACTTTCTTCTGGAATCTAATTAGGCAATGTCAAATTGAGTAATAAAGGGTTGTTTTTTAATGAACTCCTGAGGACACTGGCTGAACTTTAGCACTACTAAACTCTCTTACAGTCAATTTCCTTATCTTCATGGTACTGTTATATGGGTGGGTATCTGGGGAAGAAGAAAAAAAAGGTCATTTATCACAGTTGTACAATTTGGAAAGACAAATGGCTTCCTGATCATCAGCTTGTCCACATGCCAATAGAAAAATCTGTTATAATTTGCCTTTTGTTATTCTAGTACAGTTCTTGGTGAGGATGCTTGTTTTAGAATGAAATTGTTCTTTCAAATTAAATTGGCCAAGGGTTGGTTTATTATGTTTGAAACAAAGGTGCCCTAGTATGGCATGCACATCATTGAAACAAAGTAGCTAAATAATTATATTAGAAGTTATTTAACTTTTTAGCAGCTTTTTTTTTTTTATTTGTGCCAGAAGAACTGAACCTGGAGGATCATTTTGCCTTTAAGAGGTGACTAGAAGGTAATTAGCATTAGTTTCCACTGCATATGTGACAATTGACCAACTCCAAAGTATTTAGTGGTTTGGTAAGATTCAGATAAGCAACTTTAGGCTTGCATGTTTATCCAGGACTTATCTGAACTATTTGAAGGAGGTAATGGCAACAAAACCTACAACTAACTAAAAGTTAATATTTTACATTAATAAAACATCAGCTATTTTTAAAGAAAGGAGCAGGAAAGACTGAAAAATTAGGACACACTCCTTGACTGATATAAATCACTTTAGCATTTTTAAAATTTATGTAGACCACTAATATTTAACTTCTTTCCATATGTGGAATCCTAAAGGTTTTCCTTACAGGTATATGAGTCAGGGTCAAATTTACTTATGAATATCAAATCTTTCACATACTCCTTAGAGCATTCTTGGGCGTTTTGGATTCCCATATTGAAAACTTCCTCTGTAACTCTTTTAAAGCTTTCTTTTAAGTAGGTATTCAGGCAGAAGTAAGTAGATAGCATTTAAGTGATAGTCCTATCCTCTGATCTTTCTTGATTTATTATTTTCTCCTGCTCTTCCTTTGAATGATGGATGGAGAAAGTAAGTTAATGTACTAATATTTCCAAAGGGCTTTTTGGGGAAAAAAAAAAGCTTTAAAAGGTTTTCAGGAACTTAAGTATTTTCTGTCATACTCTGTTGTGGAAATTGGCATCAAGGACTTTCTTGAGCCTTTGAACAAAAAATATTCAGTGACTACTACTTTCCAGGCCAAATAAAGGTGGACCTTTAACCATGGATGAGCCAGAACAGCTTGACTGAGTTAGCACATAGAATGGAGCAGGTTTCACTCAGATAAATTTAGCTGAGACTCAGAAATTCCCATGCTGTGAGAAGGGGGACTAGGAAAGTCTGGCTATATGTTTGCAGGTGTCAGCTGAGAGACTTGAACATTGAATGTGAGGTTCAGAAAAACTAGCTGGTATGTGGGCTTTGTTTCTTTTTCCTTTTTAAGAGTGAGTAGTGGGTGTAGCTCTGGGGCGTCCAAAGGGCAGAGTGGCACACCTGTGGTCAGAGACAGATTAAAGCATCACCCAGAGATTGCAAAACACTCCTTTCTTACCCTTTTCAGTTTTGCCTGACATTCTCATCTCCTCCCAAGGCTGCTTGTTATACTGGCTAACTCTCCCCTTCCTTCATGCTGCTCCTTCTGCTGAGCATCTGCTGAAATCCAGCTCCCAACACACCTCACACTGGTGTTGGATGGGTGCTGCTCTGACTCCTTCATTCAACCCTCTGGCTCATGCCAAAGCTTGAGAGCAGTCTTAGTAGCTCCAGTGCTTCTGCACTCTTTTCCATTCTGGTTCCCATTTTTAAACTTCCCTTCAGGTGCTTGAAGACTCTTCTTACCATGATTGCTTCTGGTGTGCCATCCCCTTGCTGCTTTCCACAGGGACAATGGCTGGTGCTGCAAGGCAGAGGATTTTGTAGCATAGCTTGGATATGTACTTCAAGCAAGAGCAGTGCTGACTGCATGAGTGCACTACCTTCATGCTTTTGTTGACCAGACTAACCCTTGAGCTGAAAATTTCACTTTAGTATGCACATCTGTACACGCAGATTAGCCCAGGATCATTAGCTTTCTTATGGAGGAAACATTTTACATTAAAGAACATAATTGCAAATATGTAAGGTATTTTGCAATTGCTATTTTCCAACCTAGCCCTTGATTCTTGATTTTGGTGAAATACACACAGAGGCATTTAACAACACAGCTCATTCCATGTTGAGTGTCCTGTACGCTTGTAAACTGTTTCTCAGAATGGGACCAGTATGACCTGGGCTTCAGCAACTTGGGTATGTTAAACACATTGAATAGACTGCATTTATCAGGGTTTTTGGTGAGCAGTAAGTGAGACTGTGCTGCAAGATTAACTCAGTGTTTTTCAGAATGGAACTTCAAAACGCATAAGAGGAGTATAGGGCTTCACACTCCTCTCTTAATGTGTTATCCTGCATATATGACAGGTCAGAGAACTGTATTTAATGTGCTGAGAATATTAACATTTCTTTATTATTCAAAATAATTTCGTAGTCTTTGCTACTTAAAAATATGAGACTCAAATGTATACTTTGTGCCTTTCCATGTTTGTCAAAGATGAAATTATGAGAGCAAACTTGCAGACTATTGATAATTTCTTTTCAAGATATACCAGTTTCAGCTTAGCAACTCTCCCATGTTGCTCTGTATTTAGCCTGGAAAAATAATTTCTGACTACTGCAAATCCTGAAGTACAAGTCTTCTGTTATTTAAGAACTTAAATGGGGGCAGTTAACACAATTGGAAATGATCTTTATATACCATGATTCCTTAAAATTTTGTGTTGAATTCAAAATAATTTTAAGGAGATTTTAAGTTCCTGAGTACCTCAGAGCTGTGACTCGAGTTTTCTTTTACACTGGGCTCAAAGATTTACTGGTGTAGGGCTGATAAATTGCCTTTATTTTCAGAAGGACATAAAACTTATTCCAAAGCAGGACAGTGCACCCTACACAGCAGATAAAGACTTAGAGTAGTTGCTGAGGTAGCTTGTGGTAACAGAATGGTGCTCTGGGCATTGTTTGACTGACTGTAGTTTTGTGATTCTGTAGCTCTATGCACACATCTGTGTTTCAAAGTCTTTGGCAAGACTCCTGTTTGTTTCATGGGCTCTTTGATCGAGCTAATTTTGAATAAAATATACTAGGAAAAAACCCTAAAAGGAATACATGGAAAATGGGCATTTTTCCCACAGAAAATGGGGTATGTGTTATTTCCAAAACTTTTCTCAGAACCACTCTAGGTCTCCAAATAATTATTTTTTAGTTGAAACAATTTTGCATTAGTAAATTAACTATTTTTAAACAAATATTATATTTCTACTTTATAAGTATTTTCTGGTTTTGCTTCTCTGGTGAGTTATTTTATTATTTTCTTTGTGTTCTTATTTGGTTTTGGTTTTTTTGCAAAATACCAGAAAATGGCAAAAGAGAAAACCAAAAAGGAAGGGAAACTAGTAGGAACATGTAATCAAAAATGTGAAAATTAATGTTTGTTTTGGTGTTTGATTTTTTCCAAATGGCTCCATTAAAATTCATTTTGCACAAAACAAATGTGGGTTGATCCAGTGCATGGGCAAACAAACCTGTTTTCTGTTAGCAAAGTTGTCATATAGCATACAAAGATCAATAAAGCCAAACTCTATGAGAGTCCAAAATATCTCCCTATGGAGATTCACCACACACACATGAGAACTTGATGGCTTTTAGTTCATGTGGATGGTGATCCCTCCTGTCATGAATATGAAAAGGCATAAAGGAGAGGTAGCTCTGCCAGTGTCAGCTCATCCATGCTGAGCTGTGCTTGCTGAAGAGCTCTCCCAAGGGCTTTGGTTAATGGATGAAGCATGGGCAAGCTAACTGATGAATGCTGCCAGCTCTTCTTTAACCTTATTTCCTCCCTCTCCCCATTCCAGTGCTTGAGTAACTGAGTACTTCCTGAATGGACTGCAGAGTAAGCACTGACATCCATTTTTAAGTGAATTGTCACTGATTTTGGTTTGTCTTGACCAGTCAGAGTTAGTAAGGAGTTTGGCCAGTTGGGCATCAGCAGTAGGTGTCTGGGGCAGTGCTGCCTGTCCTCCCAGGACACAATCCTTCTTTTTAGTCCCAGCTCTCAGCTCTACCTCTTCTGTTAACCTAGGGGTGAGGGTGGGTTGCATTTAGGATGCTGCCCTGTGATCCTCAGTAGCAGCCTCCCTCAAGATTTTGTTCAGCTGAACTGATGGGCTTCTCTCTCATCCTCTAGATTGCAGTTTTGGAGGAAATATGTACAACAGCTCCATGAAATGGCACCTCCCCAGCAATCCCTGTGTTACATACCAGTGCCAGGTAAGGATGTCATAAAAATTGTGCTAATTGAGTTGTAAGCTTTTCCCAGGAAATCCTGAGCCTTCATTTATCCAATCCAAATAACCTGACGTATTTTATGCCCAAGGCACAATATGGACTTTGCATTTAAAGTAATTTAAATCCACTCAGATGCAGCCAGCTATAACCAAATATTCAGAAGTATAGGTTTTAAATGACTTGAGTACCCCAATACCGAAACTTCACTGAAGAAGAGGTGCACAGCCATGCCATTTCCTGCTATCTTGACCTTGAAGTAAGTCCTCTTTTCTTTGGCATTCTAAGCCTTTTGTGAGATACAAATTATTTTAGGAATGGGACACTTCTGTGTCCATGGGTTTTACCTTTCTTTAAGAAAAACACACAACTAAATAATTTTTCCTGGGCTCCTGCACTGTTAACACAGCGGTATTTTTGGTAGCTTGGCTATCTGCAACCATAACATTTTCAAGATTGTCATTTGTCAGGCTCAAACCAAGTAATTATGTAGGTGATTTAATCTTACGTCTGTAAATATGTCTGCCATTTTTGCTGACTATTTGATTTGGTTTTAAGAGTAACACTTAGGCAGCTACAAAGAATGGCAGTTAGAAAGAGTAGATTAGAGAGTATGAAAAGCTTCTACTAAGGGGAGAGGAGGTTTTTTTTTCTGTAATACTTCCGCTCTGTGAAACCAACAAATTTTTGAAAATAAGTACACTGAGATGACGGAAGCTGGACCAGTATTCTGTATCCTTTCACTTAATGAAAAGAAACTCACTACATGAATTTACATGTGTTGCATGAAATGGTCAGTTCCTTATTGCCTGTTTCAGTTTCTTAATGCAAAACTAGGTGATCCTGTTTACCCTACATTAATTTAAAAAAAAATTTTGCCTTGCCTCAAACAGCTGTAAGTAGAAAAAAAAGATAGCAGCCTTTATGCATAGACCCTCACACCCAGTTTGTTCAGGACTCTTGACTTCTTGAATAAGTACAGGAAATGTTAATTTTCTAATACTTATCAGGCACAATATCAAAGATAAGTGTCTCCCCTCTATAGAACACGATGCTTTTATCTGCTTTCTAAGTCTATTTTCCTCCAGTAGTAGAGGAAGGAGAATGCCTTTTGTCTGGCCTCTTTTCACCAGAGCGCATGGCAGATTACTGAGGTTAAGGATTCCTGATAAAGCAGGTTCCTTTCCCTAAGAGGATGCTTGTTTTTTTTTTTACCTGATGCATTTTAAGGCAAATCCTGTGTCTGGAGTCAGGAGGACTGAAGTGGGTATTTTAACTGTGGATTAACCTGAATCCTGGTATCAGGCAGAAATACAGAAAGAAAAATTTTGAAACCCAGTGCTTTGCAGCATGTGCTGGGCTTTAATTCTACTGACAGTAATTGTGAATGTTTACTTGTTAAAACAACACTAACAATGAATGTGTCTAATCTGCTTCTTTTCCAGGAAGGAGTGATAGTAGAATCAGAAATACAGTGTGTTGTTCATTGCAAAAACCCTTCCAAACCCAGGGGAATGTGTTGTCCTGTGTGTCCAGGTGAGATTTCATGGTCAAGATGCTGTTCTACATGTGCAACTCTATTTCTAATGATGCCCATCATCACTTGCCAGGCTGCCTCTAACTTCTTTGTTATACTTGACAAGTTACTAAAAATGTGGGCTGGTGACTCACAATGGACAAAATAACAGAAGGTGTTTTAGTAGAGGGCATGCAGACTGGGGGATGCATAGGCAATATCCTGTGCTAATGTTCATAGGTGTGTTAATGTCATTTTTTTGAGGGTCTATAAGGTGGGTTTACATGATTGATGACCATGATTTTGTTAGTAGGGGAAGGATAAGAGTAATTGTAAAAAAGGAGATCAACTTTTTGAAGAGGAGTGAGAATGGGTTGCCTTTGTGAAGCACAGTGGCAAATTACCATGATTTTTTTTGTTAATTTGATTTTATAAGAGATTTTGAAGGTAAGCACTGCTTTCCAGTTATGATATAATGGATTTATTATATTGTGGTTTGTTATAATACCTGCTAATACCTAATATAAACTCAGGGACTAAGAATGAATTATTAAAAAGCAAACAGCCTAAAAAATTGTTTTTAAGGCACTTCTAAAAGGAGACTTAGCCTACTTTCAACTTCGTTTTTGCAAATTTATCTGCTGTAGATGGATGTTTTCTTTCCCCCCCCACCCCTACACTCTCTTTGCCCCCAAAATACATTTGTGGTTTCTCAAGGATTTGTTTGGGATTTTGAAGTGATTTGTTTTCTTCTGAAGTGATTGTCTCTCTACAACTACCTGAAAGGAGCTTGTTGCAAAGTGGGGATTGGTTTCTTCTCTCAGGCAACCAGTCACAGGACATGAGGACACGAGCGTGTATTCAAGCAGAGCCACGGGAGCTTCAAGCTCCCCTGATGACATCAGGAGGAATTCAGAATGGAAAGGGTTGTTAATCTTGTAATGGGCTGCCCAGGGTGTTGGAGTCACTACCCCTGAAGGTGTTCAGGAAATAACTGGATGTGGCACTTAGTGCCATGGTCTACTTGACTAGATATTAATCAGTCAGAGGTTAGACTTGATATCTTGGAAGTCTTTTCCAACTGAAACAATTCCATGATTCTGTATTGGAGAGTATGGTATGATTTACTGTTCATATTGTTGTACATTGGGGCATTCTATCTTGAACTAAACTTATTCAAATGCTGATTTCCAGGTTGTGTATTTGAAGGGAGACTCTACAATGAAGGAGAAGAATTCAGGCCTGAAGGAAATAAATGTACCAAGTGCTCTTGTATTGTAAGTATTTGCCTTTTGGCATTGTATCTCCCTGTATGAACTTCAAAAGGCACATTATTGCCATAACAAAGCAAAAAATATAAGGAATCCAACACTATTATGCTTTCTTCTCTTGGAATTCAGGTCTCTGTTGAAGAATTTATGGCATTAATGCATTGTATCACTCACAGTTTGAGTTTATAGTCTTTCCTGTGACTTTACTCTGTATGCAGATGGAGCAGGTTATTTGGGAGGGGGCTGATGTGTTAAATTAGTGGTGCCTTTTTTGTGATAGGATCATGCAGGAGGAGACAGAAATCTTTTTGGCCTTCATCTGTTGATCAGCATTTATTAGATACTTCCTTAAGCCAAACTTTTCCAAGGATTCCTTTCAGCTATATGCAACAAGGGCCTTTGCTCTGAATTAATGAGAGTAAGAAAGAGGATTGCCTCCTGAGGCTATCCCAGGTGGATTTTTGGCTTGATGCTTGATGGTCATATCCTGGATTTTATTCTTGACTAGCAACAATATAGAGAGGAAGTAATAATTGCATCCTTTGAGTAATGAGTGTAGGCTTCTTTTTCACTTCCATTAAGTTAAAAGATAATGCTGTATGAGTTGGGGCAGATAACTTTGGCTTCCTTCCTGTAATCTGTGAGATAAGTAAAACACAAAGTTCAAATTGATGGTTTTGTTGCAATTTGTGGGCTGGTTATCAGCAGAATATGTAAGGCTTTACATTTCAGTAGAATGCCAAGAAATTTGTCAGTACCAGATATGGTTCTCTTGCATCATTAAAATAAAATTAAAAATGGAGGGGAGAAAGACAGACCTCAAAAATTAACTTATCTTTACACTTAATGAAGCTGCTGCAGAGTACTTGAACTGTTCTGTGGGGAAAAAAACCCAGGTAATCTGCAAAATTAATTTACACTAAGTCATTACTGCTCCTGCAGAGATCAGGGTGCTCAAGTAATTAAAAAAATAAAAAAGTTTTAATCCTTTAATAATGAAAACATACCATTACACATGTGACAGTGACATATGCCCTGGCTCCTGCTCTGCTGAATGCCTTCAGTTCCAGGCTGAGAACTCCCTTTGCACTTGGTGAGTTCCCCTCTCACTTCAGCTGTAAAGCAGTATCTTTTCACTCTTGCTTCCCTTAGTTTATGTTCCTCAGGGGAAGGCAGGTCTGTATGGTTGAGAAGTCTGTGGAGACATGCTTGAGTCTTTTTGGGCTCTGCTTTGCTCTTTCATAAGTACTGTACAGCTATTGCCTATTGCCCAGTTATTGGTGTGCCAACATCTCCTTGATCAGCTTTCCTTTGTTCTCTGACTATCAAAAGTTTCAATGCTGAGAAGAGCATTTGAGGTGGGACATATCTGGGGAGAGCAGTGTAAAGAAATAAAGGATCACACCTGAAGATCTGACCTTGAGAATTACCAGTTTCAGCTGTGTTAGAGAAGCAAATGCATCAACTATTGAGAGTAAGAAGTTTAAAGCCATTTAACCATACCTTCCAAAAAAGACAGCATGATTATTTTGACATCTATATAAAATGTCCAGCTCTTGGTCTGAATCTTTCTGACAGCTAAAGTGTCATCTATGTGTAAGCCACAACAGACCTCCCTTCCCTCTCTCTGCAGAGCCTGTTTTACCCTCTTGCCAGTTTCCCCCAGAACTGGAGCTTATGCTAATTCCTATGTGATTTAAATTTGAAATAAATAGAGGGGGCATCCTCAGGGCTGTGATAGCAGTTTGCTGCCTGCTTTGCATCCATTCCCTTTTGGGAATGGTCCTCAGTGAATCTCTTATCTAAGCAGTTGGTGGATTATTTATCTTATTTGAAGATACCTATCTAGTGATGAAAAGTGATGGAAACAAGCTTGTGTGTGATGTGCTGTAATGTGTGCAGGCTTTGACAGATGGAGGGAAGTTCTCCAACCCAAGTTAGATTTCTTCTGGGATTTCAGTCTTTTGTGGAAACTTGGTATAGGAAGTAGCAAAAACTACTAAGGTATTACTAAGGTATTTTGGGGATGAATGTATAAGCTACTCTCAGTTCAGGGTGAATTCTGCATTTTATTGGGAGCAAGCTCTTCAACTGATGAGTGATTCTGGACTCCACAGGCCATCACTGTCCTGGGGTAGCTGAAACTTGGGACTACAAGATGCCATTGAACAGGAATAAAGTAAAGAGGGATGGTGGTGGTTTGTTTTCCTGGAGAGATGTAGGTTTGATTTGCACTCACTAAATGTGTTAAAATGAGTAATTACTTAAATAAAGTATTTTTATTGTTGCAAAACGATGCACCCAGAAGTAAGTACACATCTTCAGATCTGGACTGTGGGAACACATTTTGGGTCGGCACTTTGGTAGTTCAGGTTTGTGGTATTATCAGCTCCAAATGGTGCCCACTAGGTACTACTGAGCTCCGGAAGAATGTGAAATGGCTGTTATTTGTTTGTTTTTAACACATTGTTTGTGTAAATGAGGACAAAGCTGGGATCTTAGGAGCTGTAGGTCCCCATCTTGGTGGAGCAGGCTGGCCAGTTGCAGAGCTTCCTATGTGTTCCATGACCCTGAAGGACAGAGAAATTCACTCGGTCCTTACCTGCCAGGTGCTCAACTCATTATTATGGTTCCTGTTTAACACCACTTGTGGTGACTAGGTGTTGTCTACTAAAAACCACACCTAACCCACCAAACTAATTTCATGGAGGTCAGCAAAACAAGCCATTAACGAATAACTTTTGGGTTGTTACCCAGACAGGCTGTGCTCGAGGCAGCAAGGCGGAGATGAAAGGCCCTGTATTCCATTACCACTTTCCTAAGTGAGCTGCTCCTTGGGGCCACTAAGATTTCTTGCTGAAAATGAGAATGTATCACCTCTCACTCAATGCATATTGCCTGTCAGGAGTGAACGAGCTGGCTTTTAATGACTCAGTTTCTTTGGGGAGAGGCATTTGTGTAAGAAAGGTGGACGGGATAATAAGCATCTCCTCACACCCCGGCTGGAACCCAGCTGTCTCGCAATAATTCATCTGTCTGGCCTGATCCTGCTTTTCATGATAGGCCAGTGGCCTGCTCTAGAGGAACCCTGGCTGTTTTCCCTAACATAAGCACCTACTTAAATGAAGGACTGTGTTATTTCTCAGATACTACTTTTATGAGGTCAAGAGTGTGTTTCTGCTTGCACAGTAAGAGCACTTGGCTTACATGTTTCCTTTCCTACAGCCTGCATTAAAATAGTCAGACTGTGATTATCGTAAATGTTTTCATTTTCTCCTTTGATGTAGCACGTTTAGGCAAAAAAAAATAGTGGAGTGGGAAAGAGACAGAGCCAGGGAGGGAGGAGAGGAGGTTTGGCAGAAAAGTGACCTTGCGTGAGAGCGGTAACCATGGAGAAGCTTATCTTTAGGTGTTAGTATCCAAACTCCTAAGTAGCCCCTTTTGACTGCTTCGAGCGCTGTTGCCCAGACCATGGGCGCTGCGTGTTGCGGCATGTGAGGCATGCGGCCGTGCGAGGCTCTGCCGCGCTGGGAGGGCGCAGCCCTGGGGAATCGCCGCAGCCCCCGCCGGCCGAGCTCCGCACCCCTGCGGGGAGAAGGGAAGCGGGCTTGCTTGGGAATTGGAGGCTGGGCTATGACATTGCTGGGGTGGCTGAGATCTGCGAATGGGAAAGGTTGCGCTGTCTGTCTGTCCTGCAAAGAGACACGTCCTGGAAACGACCATCAGCAGGGTGGTTATGTATGTTTGGTCCCTAAACAGCACTGTTTCACAAAAACAATGCTGTCTCCTCTTAGCTGCTCTTCCAAAATTATTTGGAACAAATAAACTCCAAATATCTAGAAGCAGAGTACAGGGGTTGGAGGCTCTTGGAGAGCCGAGGCAAAAAGGAGCCTGTGCTCAATCTCCTTTGCATCATGGGGGGCTTTTAAACCACTGCCCAGAGGGCTTCAAGACGCGCCCAGCCACTGGTCTGCAGGTGCACTTGTGGGTGTCTGCGTGCAGGAAATGTCTTCTCACTTATATTCCTGAGTGCTAGGGTACAAATACTGAATAATACAAGTTTTGCACAAAGAAAAGGAAATCACGTCGGTAAAATCTGTTCCTAAATCAATGAGTAACAGACGTTTCAACTGTGGTAAGTAATGCAAAATTACATATGTAAGTGTTTTGGATGCTGAGGGTGGAATTAATCTTGTCTAGCTACAGCTATTCAGAAGTAATGTATCTGATCTGAACTATTTATCTGGGCTCATCTTCAGTTAATTCAGAGAAAGAGAGAGGTGGGGTGGATTACTCTCTGCAGATGCTTATCTTCCTCCACTAACTGGAGGGGGAGCCTACCCAGCTCCTGGTCTCAGACATGGCTGAAGACAGCCAAAACCGATCCTGCCCCTGCAGGTCCACCCAGCTGGGTGATTAAGTACCCTGATACTGCTTTAAAGGCTTTAACGGTATTGGGAGCTGCTTGAATACATTCCCACCACAAAAGACACTGGGGGAGGTAAGCCAGTTTACTGGGAAACTCAGGAGAACGAACAATTAAATGTATCCTCAGTGAAGGCTGAGGATAATTAAAATTCAAATTTCCATCCTTAGTGCAGTGCCAAATGCTGATCTTCCCAAATTTCCATGTACTTTGGCTGCTTTGATTCAACTCCAAACTGCAGCAGACACTGTCTGCCCTTACTCTGGCGCTAAGAAACAGAGACAAGGAGTTGTAGTGAGGAGTGGAAAAGCAAAGAGTTGGTCTTTTGGTAGGAGCAGTGTTCATATCTTCAAAGTTAGTGACATTAGTAAAGTGGTTGGTTTATGGGTGGAAGCAAATGGAGACCAGGGAGTGCTCAGAAATAGGATGTGGAGGTTTGGTCACTGTGTCTCTCTGGGAACACCCCATAATTTTGTCTGCAGATTTTTTGCAAAGCTAGAGAGTTTGGCTCTGCCAGTGGCCTAATAAAAAAACAGTCCTGCAGGTAGGTGAAATGTGGTTGCGGAGGTGGGTGTGGAAG